TCCTGTGAATGTTCTTGACCCCTTTGTCAAATATCAGGTGGTTAAAATTGCATGTACTCATATTTGGGTCTTCAATTTTATTCGATTGACCAATGGGTCTATTTTTGTGCCAGTACCATGTTGTTTTTATGATTATAGCTCTGTAATACTGCTTAAAATCTGGTATAGTAATCCCCCCGGCATTGCTCTTAGTGCTCAGAGTTGCTTTGGCTCTCCAAGGTCTTTTGTGCTTCCATATGAATTTTAGGATTTTTTTTTTATCCAATTCTGTGAAAAATTTCATGGGGAATTTGATTGGCATTGCATAAGACTCTTTTGCATACAAACACTCTTGGTAGGATGGTCATTTCACAATATTAATTCTTCCAATCCATGAGCATGGGAGATCCTTCCATTTTTTGATGTCTTCCTCAGTCTCTTTCTTTAATGTTTTAAAATTTTCCTTGTAGAGCTCTTTAATGCCTTTGGTAAGATTTATTCTGAGGATTTTTTTTTTTTTTTTTTTGCAGCTACTGTGAATGGGAGGGTTTCCCTGTGCTCTTTCTCTGCTTACTCGTTATTGGTATATAGAAAGGCTACAGACTTTTATAGGTTAATTTTGTAACCTGCCACTTTACTGAACGTGTTTAATAATTTCTAGGAGTTTACTGGTGGAACTTTTGGCATCTCTTAGATATAATATATCATCTGCAAAAAGGGATAATTTGATCTCTTCTTTTCTAATAATTACTCCTTTAATTTCCTGCCCTTGTCTTATTACTCTTGCAAGTGTTTCAAGCACTATGTTAAAGAGAAGTGGAGACAATGGACAGCTTTATCTAGTTCCTGATTTCAAAGGGAATGCTTCCAGTTCTTCTCCATTAACAATGATGTTGACTGTGGGTTTGTTATATATGGCTTTAATTATGTTGAGGTATGTTTCCTCCAGTCCAATTCGCTCTAGGACTTTGAACATAAATGCATGTTGAATTTTGTCAAAGGCCTTCTCTGCATCTATTGAGATGACCATGTGGTTCTTGTCTTTGAGCCCATTTATATGATTTATGACGTTTATTGACTTACATATATTGAACCATCCCTGCATCTCTGGAATAAAGCTGACTTGATCATGGTAGATGATCTTTTTGATGTGTATCTGTATGTGGTTTGCAAGTATCTTGTTGAGAATTTTTGCGTCTGTTCATTAAAGATATGAGTCTATAGTTCTCTTTCTTGGTTGTATCTTTACCTGGTTTATGTATTAGAGTGATGCTGACTTCATAGAAGGAATTTGGGAGTTCCCCATCCGTTTCTATCATTTTGATTAATTTAAGCAGT